GGAAGCTGGCATGGGGCCTTTTGGTACTATGAAAGCTAGTCCTCAGAGAGGAGGCTTTCCGGTCGGTGACAGCTCAGGGGCCTCTGAGTCCTTTGTCTGAAGTGCATGGTATCCTCAACAATAGAGACTTACCCCCCACCTCTGAGGGGCAGCCAAGTGGAAGAGCAATAGCCTGTAATGTTTGGGATCTCTTGGACAACCTTACTGTCTTAGATATTTTCCTACTGCTTGTAAGCACTGAGTTTGGCTTCTTGTCACTTTTTTCCCTAGGAACTCAGCTAACACCAATCCTCCCACATTTGCTTTTGAGTGACTCAGACAGGCCCCATTAATTGCTTTCCACCCCCTCTTTTTTCCTTCATTCTCTTCTGAATGCTTTAGTGCTTCATGAACCTAATATGCCCACTAGTCTACATCATTCAGACCTGCCACAGGCTCTCCTACCCCAAAAGATCTTGTCCCATTATGGGCTTGTCAAAAAGTCCCATGCAAATTCCTGAAGTTCTTGTTGAATTATTTTTCAACTTTTCCATGAACATAGACCAATCTGATCTGGTGAACTGCACATCAAACACTTCTCTTATGTTCAATTTCCTTAGCAATGTCTGTCCTTCCTCTATTACTTTTCAGTCCCTGATGTTAATGGTAACTAATGCCAAGGACAATCAACTGTCCCTAATGATTCATTTGAGCCAGCCTATCAAGGATCCAGTTCCCTCATATGGCTTCAGATTATACAACTTTTGCCTCAAGAAGGGGTGAATAGTTATATTTCTCAGTTTCTCCACTTTCACAGAACTCAGACTGATTCCACCCAGCCTGATGTCACCCAGCCTCTCAGCCAGGTTGTAAAAGGCTCTTTCATTTCTTCTTTGAAAACCTTTCTCAATACAAAAAGCTGAAAGGCAGAGTGTGCTCTGATACTCTTAGTTTCCTTTACTCGGCCATTATTGATAACTAATTTATTTATTTTGCTTCCTTGAGACAGAGTTTCTCTGAGTAGCCCTGGCTGTCCTGGAACTAACTGTAGAGCAGGCTGGCCTCAAACTCAGAGATCCGCTTGCCTCTGCCTCATGAGTGTAGGGATTAAAGGTATGTGCTATCACCACCCAGCTCTACTCCAGCCATTATTAAGGCTGCAGTCTACATGATGAATCTTGGATTTCCCCTCCTGTATTAAAGGTCATACTTCAGGTCTTTTCTACCTCCATTCTTTCTGATTCTTCCATGGATTTCAAGTTGGATCCTAGGAAGGGCTCTTTAGTGCAGATCTATTTTATATTATCTTTTCCTCTGGTCTGCCAGCTGTAAGAACTTCACGTCAACATCTCCATCTAATCCTCCCCTTTTCTTGCCAAATCAGGCATAATGTAGAGAAAGCACTCACATGTCTTTTTCCTGTAGTGCCTCCTTCAAATGTGCAAGTTCTTTCTGGACAACCAACTCAGCCTCAGCTGCATGTCATTTCACCCCCAAAGGAAGCCATGCCATACTCTGCAGACTTACTGTCATCCTGTGTATGTGTTCCTATTCAAGACTGCAATATATTCTTTAATCAGTCAGGCTGGGGGTGAGCGGTGGTGGCACACGCCTTTAATCCCAGCACTCATTAGGCAGAGGCAGGTGGATCTCTGCTGTGGGATGGTCTGTATGTCAAATCTGTTGCTCTGATTGGTCAATAAATAAAACACTGATTGGCCAGTGGCCAGGCAGGAAGTAGGTGGGAAAAGGAGAGAGGAGAATTCTGGGAAGCAGAAGGCTGAGGAGAGCGACCCTGCAGCCACCGCCAGGACAAGCAACATGTAAAGACGCCGGTAAGCCACCAGCCACGTAGCAGGTATAGATTTATGGAAATGGATTAATTTAAGCTATAAGAACAGTTAGCAAGAAGCCTGCCACGGCCATACAGTTTGTAAACAATATAAGTCTCTGTGTTTACTTGGTTGGGTCTGAGCGGCCGTGGGACTGGCGGGTGACAAAGATTTGTCCTGACTGTGGGCAAGGCAGGAAAACTCTAGCTACAGATCTCTGTGATTTTGAGGCCAGCCTCGTCTACAGAGTGAGTTCCAGGACAGACTCCAAAGCTATACAGAGAAACCCTGTCTTGAGAAAAAAAATCTGGCTTTAATCAATCAGCTGTTTGGGGAACATCCCTGTGTTCATTAGGGTTTTTACTGATGTGATAACACCATAACCAAAACCAACTCAGGGAGGAAAGGGTCTGATTCATATCACAACTCAGCAAGGGAGGTCAGGGCAGGAACCTGGAGGCAGGAGCTGAAGCAGAGCCATGGAGAAATGCTGCTTACTGGCTCTCATACCACCTAGGACCACCTTCCCAAGAGTGGCACCACCCACAGTGAGCTAGGCCCTTCTTTATCAACTATTAGCCCAGCAAATGACCTACAGACTTACCTATCTGCAATCTGATACAGGCATTTTCTCCACTGCAGTTCCTCTTCCCAAATAACTCTAGGTTTGTGTCTAGTTGACAAAAAACCAACCAGCACAATTCACATATGCTAGGTAAACCCCATTCATTAGTGAGGTATGCCACCCCATACCACACAAGAGAGCTGTTGTGTGATATTTTGTTTGTGTTCTGACAAATAAAGCTTACCTGGAGATCAGAGGGCAGAGCTAGCCACTAGTTAACCATAGAGGCCAGGCGGTAGTGGCACACACCTTTAATCCCAACACTTGGGAGGCTCACACTTTTGATCCCAGCACTTGGGAAGCTCATACCTTTGATTCCAGCACAATCAGAAGGTGGAGACAAGATCGCAGGCCCCCCTTTCAGTCTGAGGTTCCTGAGGGGAAAGAAGTCATTGGTGGTTGCTTCTCTGCTTCTCTGATCTTCCAGGTTATTACTCTGGTATCTGACTCTTGGTTTTTGTTGATAAGACTAATTGATCAGAGAGCCATTATGAAAGTCCCCCCCAAGGATGTACCACCCTCAGATGGCTCAGCCTCAGTTGCTCATCTTATCACCCATAGCGGGGACATGAAACTGTTCCTCTCAAACTCATCTTTGGTTCTTTCAGACCCTGCCTAGGTTCCTAGAGTGTTGCATTCCTTTTCCTGGGGAGATATGAAGAAATGTCTTGTCATTTCGGTAAGGACACTGATGACAGACCAAAAGAACAATTTTCCACTCAAGTCTATCTTGGTGAACTCAGTGAGTTTACTGGGGTTACTTCCACAAACTTGGGTGAGGGTTACTTAGAGGATAAGGAGTGACTGAAAGGCAGCTGCATCACCACAACAACTCCCTCAGTCTGGGTGACAACTTGGAAAAGCTGCTTTCAGGCAGCTCAGCAGTCTCCTCTCCCCCAGCAGCTGGTTAGCTCATCTAACCTCAGAAAGGGGCCTGAGAGTTTCATGACTTTCTTACCAATTTTTGCAATTTTTAAAAGATGTGTTTGTTTCTTTGTGTATATGCCTATGTCTATGTGTGTAAGTTTATGCACATGCATATTCATATGCATGTACAGAATGTCCTCTTCTATCACTCTCTATTTTGAGGCAAGTTTCTTCCTGAATCAGGGGCTTGTATTTGCTCAGCTAGACTGGAAGCCAGTGAGTCCCAACAACCTTCTGATCTCGACCCCCTGCTCAGAGCTGGGCTTACAGGCTTACCCAGGAAGCCTCTCTTGTTATGTGAGTGCCAGGATCTGAACTCTGGACCTCATGGTTGCACAGCAAGAGCTCTCCAATCTGCTGAGCTACCTCTCCAGCCCCCAAGTTCTTAATTTGTTTGTGAATTTTGTGCATCTAGTCCTCACTTACCTCCATGAGGGAATGTTTTTCCATCCAGATGAAATAACTATACAACACTCTCCCTTACTTCAAACTTCTAAGTTCTATACAGGTCTGTGTAACCATCAAAGTTAAAAACCTATTTTTGGTAGAACTTACAGCAGCTCATACCTTAGGATAAATGGGATTGGAAGGGATTAGTAAGTTGTTAGATTTTAAACATCTATGGAGTGCTGGGGATGTAGTCCAATGTTATAGAGCATTTGTCTAACATGTATGAAGCAAGCCTGGGCTCAATTCTTAATACTACAAGAATCAAACCAAAACAACAAAACCTTTAAGGGACCAGGTGTAGTGATGTATGCCTATAATCACAGGGTTTGGTGGTGGGTAGATGAGAAATATCAGGCATTCAAATTTATCCTCAGCTACATAGTGAGTTTGAGGTCAGTCTGGGTTATAGGAGACCCTGTCTCAAAAAGCAAAAGTCCTGTACTGAATGCTCAAATGTTTACAATATGCTAGGAATTGCAGCCATAGCTGCTTCTTTCTGAGACATGAGCATCTCTTGAGCCCATGAACTTGAGACCATCCTGGGAAACTGTACAGTCCAAGCTCCAATGCCAGGAAAGGAGGAGGGGTGTGGGAGGACAAGAGTGGAAAAGATTGTGAGGACCTGTGAGCAGATAAGACATATAGAACCATAAGCCAAAATAAACTTCCTTTTTTTCATACTTACTCAACTCATAGATGTTTCTTTTTTTTTAGGTTGTTTTTGTTTTTTGTTTTTTGTCTTTTTCGAGACAGGGTTTCTCTGTGTAGCTTTGCGCCTTTCCTGGAACTCGCTTTGGAGACCAGGCTAGCCTCGAACTCAGAGATTCACCTGGGTCTGCCTCCTGAGTGCTGGGATTAAAGGTGTGCGCCATCACTGCCCGGCATTCATAGATGTTTCTAATAATACGAAACATGCTATGGCACAGGCTTCTTCCATAATTACCTACTGGTTAATACCCTCTAGATTCAACTAACAAAAATAAAAATAAAGACGTGCCTGAAGACACAGCTCAGTGGTAGACGACCTGTCTAGCAAGAACAAGATCCTGAATTAGTGTCCAGCTCCATAAACATGCATACATTCCTACATACACACCTTACTATGAACACATACTAAGGACATGGAGTAAGTCATAGTGTTACACCCAATCAATTGTGTGCTAAGATTAAGGAGAGAGACAACATTATGGGTTCCAAAGACTTTAATAAATCACTATTTAAGTAGAGTTGCTGATCGATCATGGCTGCAGGACAAGGACTTGGGAGCCTTGCTTTTCTTGACAGCCCTGAGCAGGAACAGAAGCAGGGCAACAGTTTCCAAACATTCCATCCTGCCCAGAAGTTCCTTAACAGGAGAGGAAATAAAATAGCTTCAGGAAGTCCCTGAAACTGATCAGATTCACTACCTCCCCTCCTTGCTGCCAGAATAGGCAATGAAAGCTGAGATTGCCTCTCACAGAAAGGGAAGGTGAGCTGCAAAGACTTTCAGCTAAGCTGCTCTGGGACCAGACCCGCTGCCTGCCTTTGAAGATGAAGAAACCAGCCAAGCTGCCTGGAAGAGGTTTAGACCAACTGTGGCACCTGGAAAGGACACTCTCCAACCTGTTGAGCTGCCTGCAGGCTGTGCAGTGTGCTCCACGTTCCCAGCTTTGGGAGCTGTCACCCATGATGGCCGTTCCCTATCTGGGGCGAGTAGACACGTGTGTTTCATCTCCCCAGGAAAAGTCTTGTCACACAACAGGGGGTGAGGTGGTGGAATTAATAGGAAAGGATATGGAGTATGCTTCTGGAATCCTGACATTGCCCTTGCTCTGTCTTAATCTAGTAGAGATCACATCTTCTTTTGTTTGTTTTTTCAAGAGAGGGTTTCTTCGTGTAACAGCTCTGACTGTCCTGGAACTCACTCGGTGGACCAGGCTGAGATCTGCCTGCTTCTGCCTCCCAAATGCTGGAATTAAAGGCATGTACCACCATCTCCCAGCTTCCTAGACTTAATTTTTCCACTGGAATTTATTTCCTTTTCTTTTTGGGATCTGGTACTATGGCTTTTTTGTTTTGTTTTGTTTTGGTTTTTTTGAGACAGCATTTCTCTGTGTTGCTTTGGTGCCTGTCCTGGATCTCGCTCTGTAGCCCAGGCTGGCCTTGAACTCACACAGATCCACCTGGCTCTGCCTCCCGAGTGCTGGGATCAAAGGTGCGCGCCACCACGGCCTGGCTTGGTACTATGGCTTTAAAGGATGTATTTCTCTTACAAAGTAAGATCTTAGGTGAATGGGCCTGTTGAAAAGCAGGTCTTGTAGTTATTCAGGAATCTGAATTTCTTCTATCATGTTATTCTAATGTCTGCCAGGTCCTTGTCGTTGGATGATTACAATATGTTGCATTGGACTACAGATGGCAGATGAAAATAAGAGGTAATGTTTTAAGGCCTGAACCAGCATGCCATTTTGTCTCCAATTCCACCTTTGAGAACTGAATCACATGGCCAACAGCGGGTGAGATGGCTCAGCTATTAGGAGCATTTGCGGCTCTTGAAGTGACACCCATATTGGGTGGTTCATAACCACTTTTAACTCCAGTTCCAGGGTCATCTGACAGCCTCTTCTAACCTCTGCTGGCAGCTACACACAAGGTGCATATACACACAGGCAAACACACACACACACACACACACACACACACACATATAAAACCAGGCATGGTGCTGTACACCTGTAATCCCAGCATTTAGGATTAGAGGCAGAGGCAGACGAGTCTCTCTGAGTTTGAAGTCAGCTTGAAGTACATAGTGAGTTCCAGGCCAGCCAAGACTATATAGCAAGACCCTGTCTCGGAAAATATAATTCCCCGAGTGCTGGGATTAAAGGCGTGGGCTTTAAAGGCATGGGCTACCACACCCCGAAAGCAGCTCTTTTTTTTTTTTTTTTTTTGTCACTAGTTTTTGAGCATTGGCCGAAGGTGAAAACTGGGAGCTCCTTGAAGGCAGACCGTCTTCCTACATACCCTGGGAGAGCATGCCAATGTTTACAAAGTGAAGTGCTTCATGTCGAGAGCGCTGTGACATCCTGACGAAGACGCACTTACCCAATCAACTCGCAGGACACACTCCGCTACCTGTCAGGGATGGATTTAAAAGGCCGACAGACCCTACCCTCCCAAGGAGAAGATGATGACGTAAGTCAGGGAACGCCGGGAGACGCCTTCACCCCCACCCACCCACCCCTGACGCACTTCCGGCGCGACGCTTTCCCTCCACGCCTGGCCTGGGCGGTGGGGGAGGGAGGCGGTTAGTGGGCTTTAGCGCCTTTCCTGACGGCGGTAGATTTGAAGCGCTTTACAGGCCTGGGCCCCGGAGCAGGGGAGTCCGTGGCGGTGCAGGTGAGAGGCGCGAAGGCGTGTGTCGGCGTGGCGTCCGGTGCCGCGGCCCCCGGGTAACGAGAGCGGGAAGGGCCCAGGGCGAGGGGCGGAGCCGCGGCGCCCGGCTGGGCCGGGGTAACCGTCTTTCCGCCGAGGTCTCCGGGCTGTTCGGGCGCGGACGGGTGGCCCCGGGGCCCGCGGCGCGGCCTGCGGCCCCCGTGGTGACCGGGACGGCTCGCCGTCGAGCCCCCCGGCGCAGGAAGCCGCTCTTCCTCCCCAGCCCCCGCCCTCCCCGCCCGGCGCACACCTCCTCCCTGACGCATTTTGCCGCACAGGCTGTAATATGGCGGCAGCGACGGCGGCCTCGGCTCCCGGGAACTAGGTTCGTTTTGGATGCTGCCAAACCGTGAGGCCGAGCGCTGCTGCGCGGTAGGTGGGACGTTTGCTCGGGGAAGGAGGCGGCGCAGCGCCGAGGGCCTGTCAGGTTAGGGTTAGGGAGGGACGGGCGCGGAGCCAGAATCCCCGGGAATAAAATCGACACGGAGCTGCTCTCCTCCTCCTCCTCCGACCTTTTCCTCTGGTAGGACAGCGGTTGTCGTGCATGCCTAAGTGACACAAGGCCCTTGATGTTAAGGCTTCTCCTAAAACTCAAGTGTGGGATCTTAACCTTAGCTCTCCAGAAGTTTTCCCACGTTCCTTCCTGGGCAGCTGGAAGCGGCCGGGCCTTTGGGGAGGAGGGTTGTGTTTAGAAGATGGTTTCTGAAGCCCGTTCGCCTTCAGGAGGAACGTACTGCTTTGGCCCGTATTTACTCTGATGTCGAACAAAGTCAGCGTTAGCTGGCACCCACGTCTAACCGTTTTTGGAAGACCTTGTAAAAGCACCACCTTGTGCACTCAACTTGCTCTCTTAGCACGGTACATTCCGGGCACTAAGAGGGTCTTTTTTGGTTTTGGTCACCAGTACATTTAAGAAATAATAGAATATTTTGGAAATTTGGAGATTCCATATTAACTTTGAGAAGCTAAAACCAGAAAGGATAAAATATGCATGTTTGTGTCGTTGTCACCCTATTGTATAAAGAATAATGACTAGTAATTGCTCTTTTGTAACAGTTACTGGAAGGTTCGACTAAACGTTTTGTAAGTTTTAAAAGACTGCCATAAAATTCAGAAATTGCACAGATATTTAGAATGGCTGCTGCTGCTTTCATATATATATATATATATATATATATATATATATATATTTTACAAATCTGAAAGTTAACTTCTGATATAGTGTCACAATGCCCATAATTCCACATTCAAGACGAAAGGTCATTGTTCAAGGCCAGCCTGAACAACTTGATGAGACTCTTATCTCAGACAAACAAAAGCATTTTCTTAGGGACTGAGGGACCACACTCTTTAATTTTAATATGTGGGGTGTAATTATTCCTATAAAAGTTTACATTCCTGTTTAATTGTTTAACAGTTTCTTTAAAGCTTCGTTGAATTGATTGGATTGTTGTGCTTGCTCCCTAGGTGGGTTGGAGTGAATGTGTGTCTTTCACAAAAACTATTTTTCTTTCTATAAGCCAAAATTTGGACCTTGAGGTTTGCAGGCAGTACTTTGTACTTAAATATTCAGAGAAAACTGCTCTAATTGGAACTTGGTGTTTTACTGATAGGGAAAATCTTGTACTTTGTTTTGCGTTGGTGACATTATTAAGGCAAGTACTCTACCACTGAGCTATATGCCTAGCCCTTGCTCTCCACTTGTGTTTGTGTGTACGGATTCAAGACCTCACAGCTGTGAGGCAGCTACTTCATCACTGGACCACAAACGAACCCCTCAGTTTTCAGAATGCTTGTTAAGTTGTGTTTCTGCAGCCAGTGGTTTGTAGATATCAAAAACATTGAAGAAAAAGGTACTATTGGGAAGAACATAGGTGAAAAAAATGTTGGCTTTTTTTTTCTTTACTTAATTCATCAGCAGTGCATGCATTCATAAATGTATGCAAATGTTTTGAGCCAGTTAATTTTCATTTCTTATTTGATCCATGTGAATACTTTTAAGAGTGAGCTAACGAAGCTAGTGTGAATGTTACAGTGCTTCCCTTGCAGGTAATTTTTTTTTAAGAAGGGATATATTTTTACCCAGTTATGGACATCTCAGTCCATGGTTGGCCTATTGCTTTGGGGCCTGTGACGAGGCGTTACATGTTGGGGAGCACACAGTAGAGCAAAATGTCTTCCTCTTGGAGTCCAGGAAACAGAGGGTGGAGAGGCTGTCCCAATACTACCTTAAAGGCCCTCCCCACCCCCCCTCCCCCGTGACCCAACTTCATTCCATTAGTCCCCATCTCTAAAAAATCCACCGTCTCCTTATACTCCCTATAGTCCTAAAGGCTGGCAACCAACCCTTTAACATATGGCCTTTGGGGGACAATTAATATCTAAACTTTGAGATAGTGTCTTCTAGACCTGACAGGGAAGGTGAATGCAAAAATAAATAAGTAGATAGATAAATAAATAAATAAATCTCCAGTATGGTTGTCAAAACAAGACCTGCATAATGACAATACCAATTGACATGCCAGTATGGATGGGGAAATTCCATAAGATCCTAACCTAAATGAAGAGTTGCCAGCAATTGATGACTGCTGAGAGAGGGAGAGTAAGTTTTCTTCAGAGGTGAGCCCCAATAGGTTATCTAATCCCAAATAGTCCTAAGACACATGCACATATGAGCAACACTAAGTGCACTCAATAGGGTGTGTGTGTGTAACAATAATATAGAGGTCAAGACTTGAAAGGAGTTTTGGGAGGACATGGAGAGGGAGGAGTAGAAATGATTTAAATATAGTACTTATGAATGGAATTCTTAAAAAAATTGATTTAAAAAAAATATCAAAACTGTAACAAAGTTTCACTTCTCTTTGTATTCAAAGCTTAGTCAGTCCTCCATGGAAGTAATCTTAGAAGTAATATAGAAAGTTGAAAAATGGTTCTGTAGGTAAAAACTTCATACCACCAAGTCTGAGGATCTGAGTTCCATCCCTGGAACCCACATAGAAGAAGGAGAAAACCAACTTCTTTAAGTTCTCCTCTGATCTACACACATGTGCGTGGCATGTGCCCTCCCCCCACAAAATAAAGTTAATAAAAATTTCAAAGTGATTTGGAAAACACAAAATAATGATACTTCTATTACCAGATGTTAATGTTTCTGAAAACTGCTTACCAATGTGGCACTACTCAGCACAGTATTGGCATTATGTTTATATGCACATATTTTTTTAGAATTTTTATGTGTGTATTGAGTGTTTTGCCTGCGTGCGTGTGTGTGTGTGTGTGTGTGTGTGTGTGTGTGTGTGTGTGTTTGTTATGTGCTCCTAGTGCCCCAGAAGAGTATGTCAGATCCCCTGGAACTCCAGATCTCCTGGAGTTATGGATGGTTATAAACCAGCATGTGGGTGCTGGGAGTTGAACCTGGTCCTCAGCAAGAGCAACAAGTGCCCTTAACAGCTGAGCCAACTCACTAGTCCCTGTACTAGTTTTCACAAATACCATAATTTATACACTATAGATGAACAAAATAGTCTTTTCTAAAGGTACTACAGTTATAAAATTGTTCATTTTTTTAGTGAAAGTTATTTTAAATTTTAAGTTTTTCTTTTAAAACATTAAGAATTTCTAGATCATTACATTGATATACATGAATGACATTTCATTTTCATGTATCCTACCATATTTAACATATTTCTCTTTTAGAATGTCAAAGAAAGGAAATAGTAGTTTTAAGTGTACTGGTTGTAAATACAATGTTTTATGCAGTTAAGGGCTTATAGATCATGTTAAAATCCTTTTTCCTTTTATTGGAATAAGGAGTATTTGCACGCCCACAATTGTATTTTCTTTGAAAATGAAATAGTGTGTTGTTTTTGTTGTTGTTTATAAAGTGCTATAATTCAAAAAAAGCAAAGTACAGACATAAAAAACAAAATCTTAAAGATCTGGAATACTTTTAATTAATTTAACTTACCTGAGTCCTGTAAGAAAATGGTTACCTGTCACAAACCTAGCAGATGCAGGGTGTGCTGTTGCCACCTTTAATCCCAGCAGAGGCCTGTGGAGCTCTGAGTTCTAGGCCAGCTCAAGTTCCAGGACAACCAAGGCTGCATAAAGAGGTCCTGTCTCAAAACAACAATAAATAATAAATTAAAAAAGAAATAAGCCTAGTTGATAAGAACATAGTATCTTTCTTGCTGTCTAGGTAGGTTTTGAGCTGACGAGTGAAAAAGGAAAGAAATGAGAAAACAACAACAAAGCACTTGAATAGAAAGCATCCTAGTAGGAAGATGAAGGGAGTGGGCCCGATTTCATTAGCGGTACAGACTGATGGGATTATTAATGGTGGATTCTGGGAGAGTCAGTAATAGCAGTGCATCATATGAGGAGTATACATATAAGGAGATAACAGCACAGGTTATAATAGCACAAGCTCTATCTGGGTGTTTCAGTACACGTTTGTCACTCCAGCAGTTAAGAGGTGGAGTTACCTGGGCTGTGGTGGCGCACACCTTTAATCCCAGCACTTGGGAGGCAGAGGCAGGTGGATCTTTGTGAGTTGGAGGCCAGCCTGGTCTACAGAGTGAGATCCAGGAAAGGCGCAAAGCTACACAGAGAAACCCTGTCTCCAAAAAAAAAAGAAAGAAAGAAAACTAAAAATAAAACCCAACAACAGAACACTAACTGTAACTGCTTTCAGGCCTATTTGCATTGACCAGCGTTCTTTCTGTTTGATGATGAAGTCCTTGGCCCAGGCACTGTGCTTTGTGTAGAAGACAAAGTTATAGCAGGGACCTGTGGCACAGGCCTCTTGAAAGGGACTTGAGGCACAAGCACTTGAAAAACCCAGGCAGGAGGATTCTAAGTTCATGGCCTGCCTTGGCCACAGTGTGTGTTCAGGCCATCTTTGACAACTATGGGAGACCTTGTCTCAAAATTTTTAAGAAATAAAAACAACCCAAAAAGCCAGAAAGATTTTGAGTTGGTGGAATTTATAGACGAGTTTATAATTTTCACTGAGGAAGGACTGTTGAGCCCATAGAGTGAGTTCCCAGAGTACTGTGGCTGAACTGAATCTTAAGGGACATGTAACCAGAAGAATGAGAAGGCGCAAAGAAGCAAAGACTTGTTGGCATTTTAATCATTTTTAGAGAATCCACTGTATTCCTTTAAGGGTAAGAATCTGTAATGCTGACTCTGAAACTTCAGATAACTCTTTGAATGTGAGAAAGTCACTACATTATTTATTACCTAACTACAAATACTCTAC